GGAATATTGTAAGATTAACTAACGATCGTCCTCTTCTTCTACGTGCCGTGTCCCTTCAGAACGTTGGCGATCATGGCTCTCCACAATTTCCTGTCCTTTGTAATTCTTAATATATTTTTCTTTTTGTTATCTCTCCTAAATCTTACTCCGACATCCATTTACTCAAGCTCGCTTGGTAGGTTATGCGTCGCTTTCTTCTGTCCCTTTTGTCATCAATCTACCCTGGGAATATCAAATTTTCTAAGCTCACTTTCCTCATTATGTCCCATAGAAAATTCAACTGATGTTAAGTAAAAGTGTTCTTTTTGTTTCCATTTTCTCTAAAACTTCGTCGTTGTTCACATGTTCAATCCATTGTATTCACAACATCCTTCTGTTGAACCACATTTCTGTTGCTTCAAGTCTCTTCTTCATCTGTGAGGAGATTGTGCAGTATTCCCTACCATACAGGAGAACTGATATTACGTAACAGTTCAGTACTTTTTCCTTTGTTTTTTAATAAAATTGTAATGTTTCTTAATATTTTTATTAGCTTTTGGAAGGCACGGTTTTCTATTCCACTGCATCTTCTGATTTCAGTGTCGCACTTTCCATCCTCTGTTAAAACACTTCTCAGATAGTGCTTGATTTTGGCATCTCCAATTTGTAATTTCATGTTGGGCTGCCCCTTTTGCTTATAACGATGCAATCTCTCTTACATTTGAGGTTTAATCCTTTCTTCTCAGTTTCTTTTATTGCCTTTTGTAGGAGTTTCCTTTCTGTGACTGCTATCAACAATGTGTCATCTGCATATCTTATTTTGTTAAGATTGTGGCTGCCAATAATGAATACTGGTATGATTTCTAATACTCTCAGAATCGCCTCACTGTATAGTTTGAATAATTCCGGCGAGAAGATACATCTTTGTCTTACACCCCTTTCTATTTTTGTATATGTATTGCACTCATCTTCTATCCGTACGCAGGCGGTTTGATGCCAGTATAGGTTCTGGATTATTCTAATAGCCTTCCCTAATACATGGTGTTCCAGAAGTCTTGGGTACATTTCAAGTCCTCATATCTACTGAACAATGAATGGTAGTAAGATGAAACTGGTACCATTTTAAAGCTAAATTCATTAATTTTTTTTTTGAATGCTAATGATTTTTTCATATTTTTTCAGATCCAGTAATGGCGTTCACTCAACCAGAAAAAGGCTTTTTGCGTCCTTGAATTTGCAAAAACTGAATCATGGACACTTCCTCATTGCACCAAGAGAGTTGGGTTGAGTGTAATATCCACGTCAGGGGACAGTAGTTTCGGGGAATGACAATATTTGTTCTTGGCCCATATTTACACGTATGGACTGCCGGCCTAAAAAAAAGTCCTTGTGTAACATCCTACCATTTTGGGGAGGTGAAGTAAATAAAATCGACGCACAAACGGTTTCAAGAAAAGATCGCAAGATCATCATCATCATCATCATCATCATCAGTCTCCATCATTATTATCATCATAAATAGTCATCATCATCATCATCATCATCATCGACATATAAACACACTTAAGAAAGCATCGCAAGATTATCATCATCATAATTATCATCATTATCAACGTACTAAGGTCACCATGACCATCGTCATGCAAGGATTATGAGAATGTTCAGTAAGGTTATAATCACGTTCAACATGCAAAGGGTCATGAGAAAATTTAGTAAGGTCATCATCACCATCGTGATGCAAGGATCATGAGAAAGTTTAGTAATGTCGTCATCACCATCGTCATGTAATGGATCATATAAAGAAGTGTAAACTGTCTTGAGAAAATTCCTCAAGGTCAACATCATTATATTCATAGAAAGAGGAATGAGAAATCTTTTTCGCGGTCGTCATCAGTATAAACGCGATAAAAAGGTTTCCAAGACTATCATCGCCGTACAAATGTTTATATGAAATCCCCAAGGGACAATCAAACGGAAAAGAGTGATAATGTATCATTTATCGGCTGACAATAACATCAAATAATATCAATAGAAAGCAACACTGTTAATGGCAATTCGATAACAACTAAACGTTTTATAGCTAAGATAAACACGCAAAGAATAGATGTAGGCGATGTCCAGGTGACTTAGACGGTGCACAAAAATAGATGTAGTTAAGTCAGAAGTTAACTGGCAACTTATTTTTTTATGGTAAGATTCACCGTAAAAAATAAGTTGCCAGCGAGAAGCGTGATGTGTTCAAGTAGTAAAGGTCTGAACTAGCAAAATTAAGGAAAAGTTAGAACTTATGAAATGCCATGGAAATAACGATAGAGTTACCACAAAACACAGAAAAAAAGAAACGCTACAAAAGTACTTAGATCTGCAAGCCGGCCAATCATAGACATGTATACAATATGGAACCCAGTAATATAGAGAGCTAGAGAAAAACAACAATAAAAAATCTGGTGAAAAATGATAAAACAAAAATTGTAGTATGAGGTGGTTATGTTACTAGAAGAGGTTACATCGAGTGAAAGTGAAAGAAAAAGAGAAGACTGAGAATATCGATTGGGGGGAAAATAAAAATCTGAATAAACTTTAAGAAGACAGAAAATGGCGATTGGCGTTCCATTTAAATTTTTGAAGATTGTAGTTATCAGGGAAGCAAGAAAACAGAAGGGAGTTCCAAAGGTGGGAAGTGCGGGAAAAGAAACTGTTGGGGTAGAAATGACGGTTGCATTTAGCTATTTCAATAGTAAAATAGGTGGGATCTAATTGCCAGTCTAGTGGCACACTTTAATTCATGTAGTCGGGGCACATTATTAAGGAGGGAGAACAGAATTTAAAAGGACAAGTGACAACGATTGACATTGCATTTAAATGTTTGAATATCAAACTTGACTTGAAGGCAAGAAACCAAAAGAGAGTTCCACAAGCTAGAGGTACGAGGAAATACACTGTTAACATAGAACCTATGGTTACATCTAGGCATTTCGACTGTAAAATGATGAGATTTTGCTACCAATCTAGTATTGCGCATAAATTCATAGTCTAGCTACCTAGATTTTTTGTTTTGGTTTTCGGCTATTTTAATTTTGTCCGGATAGGTTACCTTCCCACTGACGAGTCTGGTTGACTTACCATCTGGGACACACCTAGTGGTATAAGAGTTCCTATTTTACAAGCTAAAAAGGAATATAAAAGGAAATGACATATATTGGCATTACAATGAGAGATAGGGAGAATAGATATGACAGTTTGATCCCCTACCCTATGCCCAGGGAGTGAAGAAAAGCGTATCTCGCGTTGCTCCGGCTGCTTAGTCAATGAATGCCGAATGTTTCCATATAAGGAAATGGCTAATATATATCATTAATATGAGCATTTATCATTCATTTCTGTCGTTCCATGGTTTGTACTTAGTTCCGTCTGACAGAATTCGTACAGGTTATTTTTATTGATGTTATTAGTTTATTTTCTCGCAATTCTAGCTTGTGGAACTCTCTTCCGGTTTCTTGCTTTCCAGTCAAATTTGATCTTCAAACAATTAAGTGCAGTGTCAATCGTTGTCATCTGTCCTTTTAAATTTTGTTCTTTTATTGATATAGAATATTAATATAAACGTTTTAACGTTATGTATATTCAATTCTAAACATAAATACACTGTTTTATCGTTAATTGCTTTCATTCTTATTTTTATGAACTTGGAAGAACTGGAAATCTAAGAAGTTATCTAGACAATAAAATCAGGATACTTGTGATTCCCTATTGGAATCCACTATATACTAGTGTTGTGAAAATTCACTGTGCTCAAATAATAATAATAATAATAATAATAAAATATACTGGGGAAATTGCTGGCGGATTTAGGTGACTTGCTGTCACTTGTTCCTTAGTAGAAACCCCAAGTATTAACTGATGCGAACAAATTGATGGAAAAAATTAAAGAATACAAGCTGCTTTCAAACAATTTAGCCAGGACTCAAACGTTCAGAGAACAATAAGAGACAAATGGGTTTATCGACAGAGATATTCACATCAGACGAGACGTGACTTCAGATGGTGAATTATTCTAATAAATCTAACGGGATTTTTTAAAACAAGAATATCAAATAAAATCAGTATTTCTTTTTTTTTTTTTTAATATTAAATATGTTTTTTAAAATATTAAATTTGAAAAAAAATAGTACAAATTTAAATTTACTTACTAAGTTTCACCGGTCTCAGCTCAAAGCAAAAAATTAAAAAAAAATAGAAAAAAAGATGGCAGTCCTAAACCCTGGAATGAAATGATTAAAAATGTTTTTATTTTTTGCTTTTCATGTTACTCTATGTGAATGCGCATCAGTGTGTGTATATGTGTGTGTGTATGTGTGTGTGTGTGTAAATATTAATATGTTGTTACTTCCGTCTACATGTCAGTATGTGTGTTAACAATGTCTGTGTGCTTGCTTACATAGATATGTGTGTGCGTGTGTGTGAGAGAGAAAGAGAGATAGAGAGTGAGTGAGTGTGAGAGAGAAAGAGAGAGAAACCTGCATAAGTCAATGTGCATGTGTCTGTGCCAGTTCATATGATTATGCTGGTTTGTGTGCCTCTGTGTATGTGTGTGTGTACGCACGCGCGCGTGTGTTTTTTTCGAATTCATTTGTGGTTATGTTGTTGTTAGGATGTGGTGTCTGGCCACTTGTGCAAGCATACTTTATATATATATATATATATATATATATATATATATATATATATATATATATATATATATATATATGTTTGTCAAAATACTAAAGGAAGTGTGAAAAAAGTGTTAATGTCTTTTTCCGTTTTATACACCTGCGCGCGCGCACACACACACACACACACACACAAACGAACACCTGATAGTGTATTTGCGCAATTTCTTGAATGCGTCATGTAAAAAAAAGAGGGGAGGTAAAGACATTCATAGAAATTTTGTTTTGAAAAGTGGTGGAGGCAATGATGGCGGTTATTGTTGTCGTTGTGAAACGATGGCGCTGGTGGGGTGAGCGGAAGTTGCTGTTTTAACTTGAGTTTGACTTTAGACTCAGGTGGATCAGTGAGGGGCGGCAGGGGTGTGTGCTTAAGTTTTGCTTGAGTAAGGCAGACCGGTCCGATGAGAAATTTGTCACTGTTGATTTTCTTTTTCTTTTCTTTTCCGGTTTATGACCAGGATGCAATGCGAATTGGGATGCGCGTGCATGCGCGTATCTGAGTGTGAGATAGATAGATAGATAGATAGATATGAACATACTGAGAAGGATAGATAGAGAGATAAATAGTTTGAAAGTATTGAGATAAGATAATGCTGATAGATATATATTAAGAAACTGCATTGAACAGAAATAGATAGAGACATTGATAGATATAAACAGACTGAGAAGGATATATATATATATAGAGAGAGAAAGAGAGATAGATAGATATGAACATACTGAAAAGCATAGATAGATATTAAGAAGTTGCAATGAACAGTGATAGATGGATAGATAGATAGATTGAAAAGTATAGAGATAATAACATTATCCAGATAATAATAATAATAATAATAATAAACCACAAACAAAAACGGTGCCTAAACCACAAACAAAAACGGTGCCTCCTTATTGATATGGCAGTCCCTGCTGACTGCAATGTATCTTTGAAGATATTCAAAAAGTTGTCAAAGTACAAGGACCTTGAAATAGAAATCTCGAAAATGTGGCATATGGGAACATCAACAATCCCTGTTGTAGTTGGAGCCCTAGGACTGGTTGGAAAAGATTGCAGTAGACTAATTGAAAGGATTCCTGGAGGTCCATGCCTCAAGGAGATACAAAAAATTGTTCTGACAAGTACAGCCCACACCTTACGAAGGGCTTTATCTATGTAATTTAATTTTTTTTTTTTTTGTCAGTGGAAAGTGTCATGATGCCATTTCTAACCTTAGGTCCCTGGGCGGGACCCGGAAAGAAATGTGTACACGCCAGAAATCAAAGGAAATAAAAACAATAATAATAATAATAATAATAATAGGATGTACGGAACTAGCATAAAATGAATATACCCACAGGCATAACAAGGTAGCGACATATGTGCACTGGAAGATATGCAAGATGCACAAAATCGAAACCACTGAGAGATGGTATGAGCACCAAGCATTCCGTTACCCCAAAATAACGACCTAACTATCCTCTGGGACATGCCAATTCAAATAGGGAAATAAAAGCCAACAGAGCTGATATTGTCATAAAAGACAAGAAATTCAGGAAGTGCGTGATTATTAACATAGCAATACCATCTGATAGAAACAGAAATGTTTAGTGGAAAAATTACAACTATAATTTTCTGGGAGACGCTTTTAATAAAAACAACTCGTTTACAAGCAAATATAACTAATTTTTAAGGAAAACTGACAGTGTGGTTTAAGAAAAAAAGAAAAAAAGTGAAACGTAAAATTAACAGTTCTAAATACGCTATTTTATGCTGTATTCAAGAATTCGTCCAATTTTATTATTTTAATTACATTCAAATGTCTTACTTTTTAATTTATTATAGTCAAGCATAAAATATTTACGCAACCATTTAAACAACTTGAATACTAATTTCTGCGTAAAAACGTAATAACTCGAGTACTGATCAAAATTCTAAGTTCGTGATTAAAATCTCGTAGTACACATTTCTGGATTCTTCCGATAATCTCGTAGTACACATTTCTGGATTCTTCCGATAACATCGTGAGAAAAAAAGATTCTGGTATTTATACTTGATAAATAGAATGTTATAATTTATTTCTGCCTTAAATTGTTTTTAACTAAAGATAAATGGACAATAATTTCGTAATTATTGCAACTTTATTGAATTTATTAAAATATAAAAATATACTTACTGTTGTCATTTTGTAACAGCAGGAATAATAATAATAATAATAATAATAATAATAATAATAATAATAATAATAATGAGTTGCGCTCTTCAAGAAATAGTTTAATATACCTGAAATCCTATCAACAAAATCGAAGTGAATACCATCTACGCCAAACTAGTAAAACAGAAAGCAAAACCACTTGGTCAAATGAAATTACAAAAAAAAACCCCCCAAAAAACAAAAAACAAAACAACAAAAAATAAAAAACTGGAAGGACAAGGCGTTGCATGACAAATACCTAAAAAAAGAAGAAAGAAACAGATGTGAATCAACAGAAAACACATCAGTGGCTCAGGAACACCAGGTTGAAAGATAAAACAGAATGCCTAATTATTGCAGCTCAGGACCAAAGCCTCGCAACCACATCCTATCACTGTCACATAATCAAGGATGGAACTAACCCGAAATGCAGGATCTGCGGAAAATATGATGAAACTGTCGACCGTATTATCTCAGTATGTCCGGAAACTAGCAAAAAATGAATATACCCACAGGCATAACAAGGTAGCGACATGTGTGCATTGGAAGGTATGAAAGAAGCACAAAATCGAAACCACTGTGAGATGGTATGAGCACCAACCAGACGCGGTTACCTAAAATAACTATGTAACTATCCTCTGAGACATGCCAATTCAAACTGACAGGGAAATAAAAGACAACAAACCTGATATTATCATAAAAGATAATAAATACAGGAAGTGTATGCTTATTGACATAGCAGTACCACCTGAGAGAAACATCCCCATGAAAATTATCGAGAAATTGTCCAAATAGAAGGATCTGGAGATCAAGATTAACAGGATGTGGTGAATGAAGACTGAAACTGTACCAATCGTAATTGGAGCTCTGGGCCCCGTGAGAAAAAGAATGGGAATTTTACTAACAATGTCCTGGGTAACATCAACATACAATTTGCCCAGAAGATCGACTTACTAGGAACATCCCATAATCTAAGAAAAGTGCTCTCAGTTAAATGACAATTCTTCTATCGGATCTAAGTACCATAGTTTGATCCTAGTCCTACAGGATACAAAACAGGAATTATAACATACGCAAATAATAATAATAATAATAATATTGAAATCTCAAAAATGTGGCACATGGGAACATCAACAATCCCTGTTGTACTTGGAGCCCTAGGATTGGTTGGAAAAGATTGCAGTAGACTAATTGAAGGGCTTCCTGGAAGCCCATGCCCCCAAGAAATAAAAAAAAATGTTCTCACAGGTACAGCCCACACTTTACGAAGGGCTTTATCTATGTAAGATTTTTTTTTGTCAGTGGAAAGTGTCATGATGCCATTTCTAACCTTAGGTCTCTGGGCGGTACCCGGAAAGAAATGTGTACACGCCAGAAATCAAAGGAAATATAAACAACAATAATAATAATGGCCTAATACTACACCATGCATGGCTCTCATGACTTCTGATCTTAAATCAGACGCCATAAATATATATGGGTTGTCTTGGCGAATTAAGGTAGGTTACTGCAAATATCTCGTTCAGTATAGCACATCTAGACGCATAGGATCACCTTTAATTAGAAACCATCTAAATGGACTGAAGGTGTTTTTCATTGTGACCCACTTGTAAGATTACGCGCTACTTTTATCAAAGGTAATGGTGAGTATATTGTTTCGTTGCAACACACACAGACAGAACAATCAAAACTAATCACCCAGATATCGTGATCAAAGACGACAAAAATAGAATATGCATTCTTATTGATACGGAAGTCCCTTCGGAATATAATGTATCTTTAAAGATCTTCAAAAAAAAAAAAAAACTATCAAAATACAAAGATCTTGAAGTGCAAAGAAAAACATTGTGGCACACGAGGACTTCAGTAATTACAGTTGTGGCTGGATTCCTCAGATTGGAAAAGGTTCCGATAGACTCATAGAACGGATACCCGGTGTCCCAGGCCTTAAAGAAACAAAAACAATGTACCCACAAGTACAGCTTACATATTAAGAAGAGCTTTATCTATGTAAAATGTGTGTGATCTTAGGTTTATTACTTTATTTTTTTATAAAAATGATAGGTGGAAAATGTTATGAAGCCATTTCTGACCTTAGATCTCTGGTTGGGACCCGGAAGAAAATGTGTATGCAACAGAAAACAAAGGAAATAATAATAATAATAATAATAATAATAATAATAATTAAGAGAAAAGCGCGATTTAAGAAACAAAAAAGTAAAGAAAAAACTGTTTGACAATGTTAAAAAAATATTTCGACAGTATGTCAGTCTTCGTCAAGTTTTATTTTTAATAAAATCAAGTATAAAAATATATAAATCTAAAAAAATAAGTCGATATTTATTGTGAAAAAATGACACAATTATAGCACAAGGCCGAAATGGAGGCTGTTGATTTATTACAACGTTTCGGCCGTTGTACGCTCCGGCCTTCTTCAGGAAAGAAAAAGAAGAAAATTAGAGATATATAGAGAGAGACAAAGAGACAGGCAGAGAGAGAGAGGGAGAGAGAAAAGAAAGAAAGAATATTAAATTGCAGTGTAAATGAGTGATAAAAAGTGAATGAAATTTGACACATGGACATAAAGACACATGGTACATTGGATAAAAGCGTTGGTTAGCTCCAGTGACAGGACTCAAAGAGTGTGAGTTCAATACCCGGTTAAGGCAGTGGAGAACTTTCAGAGGGAAATTAACAGGAGATAACTGATAACTGACATCCATTAAACGGGTGAATAGTAGATTCGTAAATGTCCCTGACTATATGTTTGAGATGAGTTATTATGTAGACTATTTACATTATTCGGACTATTGTCTTCATATTTGTCGTCATATTTATTACAATGTTCCTTAAGGACACATGGCACAGTGGATAAAAGCATTGGTTAGATCCAATGACAGGACCCAAAGAGCTGTGAGTTCAATACCTGGTTAAGGCAGTGGAGGAGGACTTGGAGAGGTGAATTAACAGGAGATAACTGATAACTGACATCTATTAGACATGGCACGTGGAACTAGAACAGTCTACCCCAGTGAGCGAAATAAAGGGTTCATTTCGACATCCCAACCACCTGAAGAAGGCCGGAGCGTACAACGGCCGAAACGTGGTAATAAATATGACTACAAAGATGAGGACAATAGTCCGAATAATGTAAATAATGTACATAATACATCATTTCAGAAATATAGACAGATACTAGCTTAATGTAAATCTTATGAAATTCTTCTGTCATTCTGTTAATTCCGCTGGGGCGGGAAGTTAGTAATTTGCATATGTATCTATCCTCATGCATTTTAAGGGTCGAAAGGTCGGTAGATTCTTAATATTTTTCAGGATATGCACCTCAAGTTGCTTGCCGAAATTACAGTCGTTTGTAATAAAGGTGTTCAGCAAACTCCATTATTCAAAAGTACCATTTACAGGCAATAATATTTGGTAGATGGCGATTAATACAAAAGTGAAATTCTTCTCTTTGTCGTCTTTGGATGTTCATATTTGTTTTGTTTTTTTGTTTGTTTTTTTCACTTGATCAAAAAAAGGTACCTTTATCTTCCTCTTTTTATGATGATGAACCAAAACCAAAGTTTCTATATGAAAAGGAGACGAAAATAAAGAGGCAATGTTAGTAACGAATAAAAAAGTGAGACGAACTTGAAAAGAGAGAAAAAGGAAAAGAAGAAAAATGATTAAATAGACATACATGCACACAGACAGAAAGAAGGACAGAAAAAAATAAAATATGGTAGATTGCAATGTTCACAAAGGAAAGAAGGTGAAGCAAATTTGACAATAGGAGGGCGAGAAAAAGAAGAAAGATTAGATAAATAGAAAGAGAGACAAATAGACAGGCAGACGGAGAGACAAAAGAAAGAAAGAAAGAAAGAAAGAAAGAAAAAGAAATTATGGTAGATTGCAATGTTCACAAAGGAAAATGGTGAGGGAAATTTGACAAGTCGAAGAGAAAAAGAAGAAAAAATTAGAGATAGAGAGAGAAATAAAGAGACAGGCAGACAGAGAGACAAAATAACAAGAAAAAAGAAAAAGAAAGAAAGAATGATAGATTGCAATGTTCACAAAGGAAAAAAGGTGAGGCAAATCTGACAATAAGAGGAAGAGAAAAAGAAGAAAGATTAGCGGTAGAGAGAGAGAGAGAGAGAGAGAGAGAAGAGAGACAAAGAGACGGGTAGACAGAGAGACAAAACAAAGAAAGAAAGAAAGAAAGAAAGAAAGAAAGAAAGAAAGAAAGAAAGAAAAAGAAATTATGATAGATTGCAATATTCACAAATTTGACAATAGGAAGGAGAGAAAAAAGAAAATTAGAGATATATAGAGAGAGACAAAGAGACAGGCAGAGAGAGAGAGGGAGAGAGAAAAGAAAGAAAGAATATTAAATTGCAGTGTAAATGAGTGATAAAAAGTGAATAAAATTTGATTGTAAAGTAGAAAGACAGAAGAAGAATAAGTTCAAAGAAAGACAGATTAAAAAAGATAGGAATTAGAAGTTAACTTGCAACGTTCATAACGAATAAAGAAGCGACACAAGCCAGAGAAACGGGGGAAGAGAAAGAACAAATTAAAAAAGACGCACAGACAAACAGAATGAAGAAAAGGACATGAGAAAAAGAACAGGTCTGCTGCAATACTCATTGCTAAAAAAAAAAAAAAAAAGAAAGAAAGAAAAAAAATTGAAAAAGAAATTAAAATAATATGAATAAATAAGTAAATAAATAATTAAATAAATAAAGACGGGATAATAAACAAGAATGGAAAGAAAGAAGATATCTCTCTCACTTTCTCTATTTCTCTCTTACTCTGTTTTAAAGTAGGTTAGTAAAACAATGACGGAAGAAACAATAATTGGCTTGCAAAAATAAATACGACGAACAAAGAAAAGAGAGAGAGAGAATGATAGAAAGAGAATGAGAGAGAGAGAGAGAGTGTAAAAGAGAGAGAGAAAGAGAGAGAGAGAGTAAAAATGAAACGAATAAGAAAACAAAGAATTAAAAAAAAAGAAGATATATGAGAAGCGATGAGAAATATTTGCTTGAAATTTTGTCATCAAACAAAACAGTAGGTGAAAAAACCGCAAGGATGTTAAGATGAAACGTAGAAAAAAAGAGAGGGGATGAAAGAGAGGAGAAAAGATGAACTGGAAATATATATAAGTATAAAGTGAAGTCAGAAGAGAGAAAGAATATGAGAGAGAGAGAGAGAGAGAGAGAGAGAGAGAGAGAGAGCGTAAGAATTAAAGGGAGAGTAAAAATTAAGAAACAGTGACATGATCGATACGAGGAGTTAATCGTTGAGCTAAAAATAGATGAAGACAAAGTAAGAGGAAAAAAGAGGAAAAAAAGAAAGAAAGGTAAAAGGAGTGGATAGGAAGGAGAGTTGATGCGTGTTTGCTCACGAAATGGAGGCAAAGAGACAGGATCTATGGAGACGAAAATGACATGCTTTTTCTTGTATAGTCAGTTACCTCCCTTGTTTATCCTGATCATGGAAGTAGACAATTCTGCGTTCACCTTAAGTAGAAGAAAACGTGGGACAAAAGACGAGAGTAATCTCTTAACATATGTTTGCACATGCAATGAAGCTGAATAAACGAGAAAAACGATTAAAAGTTTGGGACGTTAGTAACGTTAATAAGAAAGAATTTGAAATAAGCAATAAATTAAGAATGAAAACGAAATTAACAATAAGAAAGGGTAGCATAAAAAAGTTATCTACAATGGCTGAGAGCCTGTTGAAAAGGAGAAATAATCACGTTTGACATATACGCCCATACACACACAGGCACACGCGCACACAAACACGCACGCATACATACACGCGCGCATACACATAGCATCAGCAACAACAACAACAACAACAAAAAACCAACCCAACACCAATAATAAGAGCCCCCAACTAGCGCATAAATTAATTAAATCAAATTTAGTATAAAAATAACGAAAATTGTGAAAAAAGGCAGTCAATTAATAAAACCTCCTGACGAGAGGACTGAATAATTAAAAAAAATATTCGTCTACAAAACTCCGGAGTTGAGGTGCTGACTATAACATCAATCAGCTAAGTGACAAAATTTATATTTGTATTAATACTATCTCCCCCCCCCTCTCTCTCTGAGAATGATTTAAAGGCAAAATGGAACCTTGCTTAATTGTGAAGCTTACCGTAGCCTAGTTGTAAAAGCACGCCGGGTCAGACGGTGGTTCCACCTGAAAAGAGCGATGCAGATTCGAATCCTACTGGAGTATACATTACTTTTATTAAGTTTTCTCGAGTCTGCAGGCCAACAGAAATAAATACTGTTTAAAATAAACGGATCGTTAATTTCAGGTTAACACAATTGTTCAGTATATGTTCTTGGTAATTTCTAGTTAGCAAGCATCGGTTCTGTGCAACAAGAATAAAAACTTCGGTTTCAGCTTTTAACCCTCCATTACGTAACCACTGATGGGTACGGGGTTTGTCTGCATTATCTTGTCTGGTACGGACCGAGTATTGACGATGAAGAGGCTTATTTCCTCCGCCCTCACCAAATCGTGGGATTGGGAGACATGCTTTCAATAAAATTAAGAACAACAGGAGAAAGAAACAGCAAAAACAATTCCAAGTTCAGACAATTTATCAAGCAAGAAGAGTCGGCCACTAAATCATGAGAATACTGACGAGACACTTTCGCATCTAGCCAAAGACATTCAATTTTCCTTTTTTTCTGATTTTTCTTTCGAACCGGGATTTTTGCCATCATTTCTGCATGGGGCATTGCATTTGATTTTGCTTTCTTGTTTAGGTTCTTTGCCGCTGCAGTAGGTTTATTATGGTTTATTTGCACCTTTTCACCCACTTAAAGTACCATTTTGAATTTGTTGCCTTCCTTTATTATGAATAAATTTTCTTATTTTTTTCATGCTCTTTCAAACAGATCATCATCTAGTTTTCTGTAGTTTCCAGGTATCTTTGAAGACCGATTGTTGTGGTTTTGTAAGACAGTTCTAGTTGAACTAATCCTCTGCCTCCTTCGGATCTGGACATGTACAGATGATCAACATGAGCCTTGGAATGATGCATGCGGTGGCAACTGAGAAGCTTTCTCGTTTTGGCGTCCATTCGTTTAATGTCAGCTATGGTCCAGTTAAGGACGTTGAAACTGTATTACACCTTGGGGACAGCCAATATGTTTATAGCTGATATTCTGTTTTTGAATTCAGCTTGTTATTCAATACCAGATGCACACGCCTGTAATATTTTCTTTCTTATTTTCTTTTTCATTTGAGCATGCTGTACTTCATGTCCTTCGTATTTGACACATAGGTATTTATAAGCTTCTTCTAAACTTCCCTAAACTTCGTGACAATATCTAGGTCTACTGAGTGTGTTTCTCTAATTATTCCTTTCTTGATTGTTACCTATGCACATTTATTTAGTCCGAAATCCATACTTATATCATCACTGAAACGTTTTACAGTATTGAAGGGGCTTTTCAACTTATTGTCGTCTTTGGCAAAATGCTTGAGATCATCCATGTAGAATAAGTGATTAAATACTGTCTTGTCGACTTGTATTCGTTATTATTATTATTATTATTATTATTATTATTATAATTTTATTTGCTTTAATAATTATTATTAACTTGTCTGGGCTTCAATATATGTCGTTGGTTGTCGAAGCCGCCCGCAGCATCAACAATGGTTTGAGGCTGGTGTCTGCTTCAGAAAAGACTGTGAATTGTTTGTTCCTCAAATACGTTTCTGGCAATCTGTGGGTACAAGATGGACCTAGCTGCAGTTGGAATTAACCATTCACAATGATACTTCGTAAGCAGCTGTGGAGGCTCATCCAGCAATAAACACTTTAAAATCTGTGAGTAGCCCAAAGTACAGTCGGAAGATATATGGCCCAAATTGACAAGGTGAAGTGAATACATAAGTGTATAAACTATGCACAGTCTGATATTATTGCAATTGGCTTTCATTGCCCTACTATAACTAGACAGTCTTGTTCGTGTCGAGAACATTTACCCCAAAACATATCTTTAAATCAAATAGATCCTCCTTTTGGTGGTTCTCAGAGTGAGTAACCCATTCCAGCCTCTTGCAACCTAATTAGATAATTACAACCGTGTCTTGTTGCGACAAAAAACTGATGCATTAAAAATTGCAAACATTTTCGCTAACAGTTGTGTGGTTGTGTGCGGCATCAATCAGTCTCGGAAGAGCATGGAAGTGCGCCCCCAAAGTCATGCCTCATCTGCTGACGGCGACGCATCGTCTGGTATAACTGTACAAGCCCATACGGGAGTGACGGTCTTGATTGCAATAAATGCATGTGAAGACGTTGTCAGGCAATGTTGCCGTGTCATTTTCTTTCCTTCGTGCACGCTACTCCCCGGTGGCAAGTCTGTTTCTTCATCACTCGGTGTAAATCAAGTCTCCAGCATGAGCGATCGTTGGCGACATCTTCTCCTTTCTCAAAGTCCATGTCCATGTGTCATCGCCCTTGAAGCAAAGAGGAGGACGCCCTGGTTCCCTCTTGTCAGTGTCCAGTTCCCGTACAGAAGAACCTTCGGAATCTTCCCATCAGTAGACTTTCTTCCCGTGTTTGCCGTCCTTTTAGATGACGCTTGAGTGTCCTTTCCAGGACGCAGGACAGGACAGTGTTTTATGAGAGGTCGGCGGTTGCCAATGAAGCACATCTCCCCTCTCCACGTCACCGATATTTTCCAAAGGAAAGGTAGAGTCGAATACAGTTTGGCACTGGCGTTGTCGCAGGTGTTGCTAGTACGAAGACTGTTTTAGGGACTCCGCCTCGATATTTTCCTCAGGGTTTACTCCCGAAGCCTTTCCTAATAATGGGAAACAGAAAAATGCCCTATCTTGCTGTAGGTTAACACAAAATCATACTTCTAAAACCACCCAACAAATTATGATGTTTACAAGATTTATAGTCCAGCTACATGTTTCTTATTCACCGCAGCTATTCCCTTCTGATTATTACTTTATCTGGGCCCTTAACAACAAACACTCAGTAGTGGGAAGCAACAGCGGTAGTTCTGAGATATCCAAAATAGGCATGGCACGTGGAATTAGAACAATCTGCTTCCGTGGACTAAATAAAATGCTAGGTTCGAAATTCCAGCGTATATCACTTGAAGAAAGTTGGAGCGTACAAAGGCCGACATGTCGTGAATATGGTAATAAAGATGAAGACAACAGCCCGAGCGATTTTAATAGTTAAATACTCAGCAAGTGCTGATACAGTTAGACATGGATATTTTGAATTTAATACTAAATTTTTCCACACACCAATGTAGGAAAGCCCAACAGACAGTTTGTCGACGACCATGGTCTTAGTTTTTATTGTGATGGATTAGATTTACTGCCGGGTCATAGAACAAAAAAGGATGTCGATTCTCATGGTGATTACTAAGAAAAATAATGTTATGTTTGAGTTGAATAGCATGGTGGGTCCTAGCCGTGAAGATTAGGGCTGGTGGAACTAAGGAATGTAGTTCACTGAGTACTTTCCATGGAAATAACGATAGAACAGTGAGAGGCTTGCGACATCTCGTCTGTGGGAGAGGTGTTGCAGGGTGGAAAATACTTTCTCACCCGCAAGGACACAGAGAGAGACGGTTTTGGACTCTATCGAGACTGGAAAGTGAGGACTGGGCAGCTCTTGTCAAAGTACAACATCAGTACTAATCTCAGTAGTATTTTTATTACAACCCGTGAACATTTTGACCCTAAGAAAACCACTGGCTCACCTAAAAGTCCAGTTGTTGTCTTTAAGAATATCAATCTGGAACTATCTCCTTATCTTAGCAAAATTATTTAATGGCTGCATGAAGGAGAAAAACTTCTCAAGTTTTGGATAAATAGTGGTGTACGTTTTATTTCTGCTGATATCTTAAGTATCGTCTGGTCATCGTTGAAATGTGATTCAAAGTTTTTCTAAGACGAGGACATTTTATCTTTAGAGGTTTTGATTGTACGATATTATTGTGGTCTTTCGCTTTTCTCTCCATTTTAAGACACTATCTATAATATTTGGCATCAATGATTGAATTTCCAATCATCATCATGGCTTGGCTTCGAAGATCAAGAGGGAGTCTGTACACGTCGGTTGCAGGCATGTTTGTGATTGATAAGTCCAATGCGGGACAGGCATACACGGTCGCAGTAGTTGCAGTTGGAAGTCCAGCCTGGGCTCGATGGCCGGACTTTCAATTGCAACTATTGCGACCGTGTATGTGAACGTCTCCCTCAGGTTTGCACAGTGGAGTTTTTATGTGAAGTGCAGCGTGCAGCGTGCACCGACTGGCCCAATACTGTACACCCGGAATTCGATCCGTCTGGGATCGTTTTACAGAGTGTCCTCTTAGCCAATGGCTAGAAAAAATCCAAGACTCCCAAGGTAATTGTGCTAGATGGCCGTTGAGCAAAAAGCATGCTCCTCCGTCTTGAAAGGTCTTGTATTTAATTCTGCAGGGTGAACTAGCCACCCTTCTCACAGACAGACTCTGTGGGGGTACCGGTTTAGTCTCTGATAATCCGACTATGAAACAGGTAATACTTTAGTTTACAATACTGGTTTTTCAAAGAATGAACTATTTTTAACAAATTTCTTTTCTTAATTGGTTGGTATTTTCGCTTCCATTTTCTTTCTCTTCTAATTGTTTCTTTCCTGCATCAATTTTTTCAACTCAGTGTTATCGTCCCAGGAGGGTGCATCTTTTTCCTTCTAGGTCTTCTTGGTATGGTCTCACGTGCATCAGCTGACGACGATATGATAGCATTAATTGATTCTTCTATGTTTTGAGCTATATTTACTGACATCACTTTGAATTCTTGTTTATTACTGAATTCTAAATGTACTCTTTCATTTCTAAAAATTTGGATGTTATATGTCAGTGTTTTTCTTGGTTTTATATAGGCAGAAGTGAGTTGGCTGGTATTTCCAGTTTAGTAAAAATAATCTGTGATCTAATTTAGGAATTGTATACTCTAACATTTGTTATATATATATATATATATATATATATATATATATTCTTTTTTTTTTTTAGATAATAATGGTTTACTGATACATGTCGTACTAACTAATCTACCTTTTGCTGGTTATCTAAAGCCAGAAAATATTTATAGATAGTAAGAAGTTATTTTTTTTTAATAGATAATGGTTTAGTGATGCAACCCGTTGGTCTCACGCTTTTCACTGACCTAATGTGGAGCAACTCCTTTAAATCAATTGCTGCATCTGCCGCAAGGTAAGTTGGTTCTCTGTGTCGCACCATAGGGTTTTTTGCGCCTGAGTCCATCCTTCAAATCTACAAATCAACCATTCGTTCTTGCATTGAATACTGTTGCCATATATGGTCAGGTGCCCCCGCTATTATCTCGATGTCCTCGACAACATCCAGAGACGATATGTTATGTAATATGTCCTGATCTGGCATCTCGTCTACAGTCACATTCTCACAGAATATTTTCATGGCAACTGCTCTGATGAGCTACATTCACTGGTTCCCAAACTGCATGAATTTAAGCATGCTACTAGGTTGGTATCTCGGTCCCACCCTTTCACTTTCAAAACGGCTAAATGTAGTCGTCTGTTCTACTCCAACAGCTTCTAACCTCGCACTTCCCGACAGTGAAACTCCCTTCCTCTTACTTGCTTCCCTGATAGCTATAATCAAATGTAATGTCAATCGACATCTTCTGAAGCCTTGATCGTGATCCCCGTCCTTCTCTATATCCTTTCCTTAAACGCCCCTCTTTACTCTTGCTTTCACTCTCTGTAACCCCTTGCGTGCTAGGGGCACTCCCGCCTTCTTTGGGGTGACATGCTAAAAAGGAAGTCTTATTAAACCATAATTAGGAGAAGAGTAGGTGAATATAACGAAACCAACGAGAATTAGAACTCGGATTTCTGATTAACAATTCCGACCCTCTTATCCATTACACCAGCCGCACATCCAAGCTTACAGGACCTGATATTCCCAATCTGTCACCCATCTAGGTCACCCGATCTAGGTGAGCGTACGGGAAGTGGGTTACTAGTAACGAAGGAGGATAGAATGGAAGTGATTAGTGGAAGATAATAGAAAGGATGAATCTAACAGAAGGAAAAGCTGAAAGGAAGAGAGTAATGGTGATGCCAACTTTTCAAAGAATAGATGTGGTAGAAATCCGAAGGAAAGGAAAGAAAATGTGAAGACAAAGTGATTAGTGGAAGATAAGAACGAAAGGATGAATCTAACAGAAGGAAAAGAAAACAGAGAGAGTGGACGTTTGAGAGAAAGAACAGTTTGAAAGAAAGTGAAAGAAAGTAATGAAAAAAATAGAAAAAGAAAGAGATTTGTCCGAGAGGGAAAAGAACGAACAGATAACAGATGGAAAGAAGGAAAGAATAGATGAAAAGAAAAAAACCCTAAAAATGCAACGACTGAAAGAAAGAAAGAAAGAAAGAAAGAAAGAAAGAAAGAAAGAAAGAGTAGTGAAGACAAAGAGTATTTGTCCGAGAGAGAAAAGAACGAACAGATAACAGATGGAAAGGTCGGGCAATAGAAAGAGAAATCAGAAAACAGAGAGAGTGGACGTTTGAGAGAAAGAACAGTTTGAAAGAAAGTGGCAACGACTGAAAGAAAGAAAGAAAAAGAAAGAAAAAAAAGAAAGAAAAAAGAAAGAAAGAAAGAGTATTTGTCCGAGAGGAAAGAACGAACAGATAACAGATGGAAACAATAGAAAGAGAAATCATAAAACAGAGAGAGTGGACGTTTGAGAGAAAGGAGAACAGATAGAAAGTAAACGACTAAACAATGCAACGACTGAAAGAAAGAAAGAAAGAAAGAAAGAAAGAAAGAAAGAAAGAAAGAGTAGTGAAGACAAAGAGTATTTGTCCGAGAGAGAAAAAGAACGAACAGATAACAGATGGAAAGGTCAATAGAAAGAGGGAATGGACGTTTGAGAGAAAGAAACAGTTTGAAAGAAAGTGACTAAAAATGCAACGACTGAAAGAAAGAAAAAAAGAAAGAAAAGAAAGAAAGAGAGAGTGGACGTTTGAGAGGGACGTTTGAGGAAAGGAGAACAGATAGAAAGTAAACGACTAAACAATGCAACGACTGAAAGAAAGAAAGAAAGAAAGAAAGAAAGAAAGAAAGAAAGAAAGAGTAGTGAAGACAAAGAGTATTTGTCCGAGAGAGAAAAGAACGAACAGATAACAGATGGAAAGGTCGGGCAATAGAAAGAGAAATCAGAAAACAGAGAGAGTGGACGTTTGAGAGAAAGAACAGTTTGAAAGAAAGTGACTAAACAATGCAACGACTGAAAGAAAGAAAGAAAGAAAGAAAGAAAGAAAGAAAGAAAGAAAGAAAGAGTATTTGTCCGAGAGGGAAAAGAACGAACAGATAACAGATGGAAAGGGAGAAATCATAAAACAGAGAGGAGAACGTAAAACGACTAAACAATGCAACGACTGAAAGAAAGAAAGAAAGAAAGAAAGAAAGAAAGAAAGAAAGAAAAAGTGAAGACAAAGAGATTTGTCCGAGAGAGAAAAGAACGAACAGATAACAGATTCGGGCAATAGAAAGAGAAAAGAAAACAGAGAGAGTGGACGTTTGAAAGTTTGAAAGAAAGTGACTAAACAATGCAACGACAATGCAACGACTGAAAGAAAGATAGAAAGTAAACGACTAAACAATGACTGAAAGAAAGAAAGAAAGAAAGAAAGAAAGAAAGAAAGAGTATTTGTCCGAGAGGGAAAAGAACGAACAGATAACAGATGGAAAGGTCGGGGAATAGAAAGAGAAATCATAAAACAGAGAGAGTGGACGTTTGAGAGAAAGGAGAACAGATAGAAAGTAAACGACTAAACAATGCAACGACTGAAAGAAAGAAAGAAAGAAAGAAAGAAAGAAAGAAAGAAAGAAAGAAAGAGTATTTGTCCGAGAGGGAAAAGAACGAACAGATAACAGATGGAAAGGTCGGGCAATAGAAAGAGAAATCAGAAAACAGAGAAGTGGACGTTTGAGAGAAAGGAGAACAGATAGAAAGTAAACGACTAAACAATGCAACGTAGTGAAGACAAAAATTTGTCCGAGAGAAAAAACGAACAGATAACAGATGGAAAGGTCGGGCAATAGAAGAGAAAGTGGACGTTTGAGAGAAAGGAGAACAGATTTGTAAAACGACTAAACAATGCAACGAGAAAGAAAGAAAGAAAGAAAGAAAAAAGATAACAAAAGAGTATTTGTCCGAGAGAACGGATAAAGGTCGGGCAATAGAAAGAGAAATCAGAAAACAGAGAGAGTGGACGTTTTGAGAGAAAGGAGAACAGATAGAAAGTAAACGACTAAAACAATGCAACGACTGAAAGAAAGAAAGAAAGAAAGAAAAGAAAGAAAGAAAGAAAAGAGATGTATTTTGAAAAAGAACGATAAAGATAACAGATGGAAAAGGCAATAGAAAGAGAAATCAGAAAACAGAGAAGTGGATGTTTGAGAGAAAGAACAGTTTGAAAGAAAAGTGACTAAACAATGCAACGACTGAAGAAAGAAAGAAAGAAAGAAAGAAAGAAAAGAAAGAAAGAAAGAGTAAAGTCCGAGAAAAAAGAACGAACAGATAACAGATGGAAAGGTCGGGGAATAGAAAAGAGAAAAGAAAAAGAGAGTGGACGTTTGAGAGATAACAGTTTGGAAAGTGTAAACAATGCAACGACTGAAAGAAAGAAAGAAAAAAAGAAAGAAAGAAAGAAAGAAAAAAAGAAAGAGTATTTGTGGAACAGATAACAGATTGAGAGAAATCATAAAACAGAACAGACGTTTGAGAGAAAGGAGAACAGATAGAAAGTAAACGACTAAACAATGCAACGACTGAAAAGAAAGAGAAAGAAAGAAAGAAAAGAAAAGAAAAGAAAGAAAGAAAGAAAAGAGTATTTGTCCGAGAGGAAAAGAACGAACAGAAATGGAAAGTCCGGGCAATAGAAAGAGAAAAGAAAAGAAAAAGAAAGTTTGAAAAAGAAAGTGACTAAACAATGCAACGACTGAAAGAAAGAAAGAAAGAAAAGAAAGAAAGAAAGAAAGAAAGAGTATTTGTCCGAGAGGGAAAAGAACGAAAGATAACAGATGGAAAGGTCGGTGAATGAAAAGAAACCAGAAAACAAAAGTGGAGTTTGAGAGAAAGAACAGTTTTGTAAACAATGCAACGAGAAAGAAAGAAAGAAAAAAGAAAAAAAGACAGATAACAGATGGAAAGGAACAGATAATAGAAAGAAAGAAATCATAAAAAACGTTGGACGTTTGAGAAAAGAGAACAGTGGAGAGAAAGAAAGAGTATTTGTCCGAGAGGAAAAGAACGAACAGATAACAGATGGAAAGGTTAGAAAGAGAAATCATAAAAAGAAGTGGACGTTTGAGAGAATGGAAACAATGTAAACGACTAAACAATGCAACGACTGAAAGAAAGAAAGAAAGAAAGAAAGAAAAACCCTAAAAGAAAAAGAAACAATTAAAGTATTTGTCCGAAGAAAAAGAACGAACAGATAACAGATGGAAAGGTCGGGCAATAGAAAGAAAACAGAGGGATGTTTGAAGAAAGAACAACGACTAAACAATGCAACGACTGAAAGAAAGAAATGGAAAGAAAGAAAGAAAAGAAAGAAAGAAAGAAAGAAAGAAGAGTAGTGAAGACAAAGAGTATTTGTCCGAGAGAAAAAGAACGAACAGATAACAGATGGAAAGGTAAACGAAATCAAAACAAGAGAGTGGACGTTTGAGAGAAAGAACAGTTTGAAAGAAAGTGACTAAAACAATGCAAACTGAAAAAAAAAGAAAGAAAGAAAGAAAAGAAAAGAAAGAAAAGAAAAAATGTGGTCCGAGAGGAAAAGAAAACGAACAGATAACAGATGGAAAGGTCGGGAAATAGAAAGAGAAATCATAAAACAGAGAGAGTGGACGTTTGAGAGAAAGGAACAGGAAAGAAAACGACTAAACAATGCAACGACTGAAAGAAAGTGGGAAAGAAAGAAAGAAAGAAAGAAAGAAAGAAAAAAAGAGACAAAGAGTATTTGTCCGAGAGAGAAAAGAATAAACAGATAACAGATGGAAAGGAGAGAGAAAAGAAATCAAAAAAACAGAGAGTGGATGTTTGAGAGAAAGAACAGTTTGAAAGAAAAAACTAAACAATAACGACTGAAAGAAAAAAGAAAGAAAGAAAGAAAGAAAGAAAGAAAGAGTATTTGTCCGAGAGAAAAAGAACGAACAGATAACAGATGGAAAGGTCGGGCAATAGAAAGAGAAACCTGAGTGGATGTTTGAGAGAAAGAACAGTTTGAAAGAAAGACTAAACAATAAAAACGACTGGAAAGAAAGAAAGAAAGAAAGAAAAAAGAAAAGGAAAGAAAAAAAGAAAGAAAGAAAAAAGAAAAGAGTACTGACAATAAGAGGGAAAAGAACAGATAACAGATGGAAAGGTAAAGAAAGAGAAATCATAAAACAGAGAGAGTGGACGTTTGAGAAAGGAGAACAGATAGAAAAAAGACTAAACAATGCAAACTGAAAAGAAAAAAGAAAGAAAGAAAAAGAAAGAAAGAAATCTCTTCTAGGACTTTAGGACATGTATTTGAGAGAGAGAGAGAGAGAGGAGGGGCGGTGAGAGAGAGAGAGAGAAGAAAGAATAGATAGAAAGAAAAAAAACTAAAATAAGCAAAAAAGAAAGAGAAGGAAATAAGGTCTAAGGGAAAGAAAAGGGAGGCCTGACAATAATAAGAACTAAGATAAAGAGCAATGAGATTTTTTTTTGGATAATGAAAAAACAAATCTGAAAGAAAGAGGGGGTGAGGATAGTTGAGAGAGAGAGAAAGAGAAAACAGATAGAGAAAGGAAGGAAAAAAGAAAAAACAATAGAAACGTTGAAAGGAAATGAGAAAACATTGAGAGTGGATAGTTGAGAGAAAGGAAAACAGATAGAATAAAAAGTAAAAAAAACGTTGAAGAAAGGGGAAAAATGAGAGAAAAAAGATAAAACAAGGAAAAGAAAAAAAATGACAAGGATAGATAGATAGATAGATAGATAGATAGATAGATAGATAGATAGATAGATAGATAGATAAAGAAAGAGAGGGCAAGAAATAAGAAAAAATTAAATAATCGAGAGAATGAAAGAAAATGACAAGAACGAAAAATGCGAAGTAGGTGTAGCGAGAAAGAGAGAACAACTAAGAGAGAGAAAGATATATACAGGCATTTAAAGAGGGGAAAGTCGTTGTCCGATGGTGTTGGGGATGTTGGCGGAGTGCAAGTATGACAGGAAGGTGGATAATTAAGTTCAATTCTTGACGGCACGCAACCTCTAGCTTTTTATAAGATTTGTCTAAAGAAACAATGAAACAAGAGGCGGTTGACGTCTTTAATAATAACAGGCCGGTGGGAAATATTTTTTTTTTTTTATAGTTAAACGCATTCATGAGAATACATGTTATCACATCAGATTTTAGAATAAATACGCGCGTACACATACATGCATAATCACAGACACACATTGGCGTTATAACGTCACACAAATGTACACACACATATTACACATATATACACATCTTTTCCAACACACGTATATGGTTTCATATACAATAGATCCACACTCTCTCATATACGCATATACAGATATATGCATTTAATAATAATACAAATCAGTAACTCTTAGCAAAATGCGTAAAACTAGCCAGAATTTAATTTAAAGGTCGGCATAATTTGTCTTAAGTGCTCGCTAGATAATTAGAACAACAATAGTCGATTAATTAATTGTTGATAAATTAATGATAAAGTGAAAAAACTTTTTGTGCGACATGTTTCGTCCTTTCGACTATATAGAGATATTAACGTTGATGGAACTACACATGCAAACAAAAGGGATAGAGGCGCTGAAATTTGAAATTTTTAAATTAATTTTTTAAAATATGTCGTTGGGTATATAGTCTAGCCCAATGTTTCTCAAGCCTTTTAAGCAACGGCACACCTTGAAGCAAATGAAAATATCAAGGCACAATTAGCAAAAATTTTAAAGGGTATACATTTAAATGTTATAAAACCATAGATTTTTAAAAAATACATACACAAATATGAACTTACTTTATTTCCATATTTTTATTCAGCTATTTGTGCAGCTTATTTAGTGTGAAACTTGTGCCTGGTGTTTTTTTTTCTCCGATTTCTTTAATGTTTGTTCGAATGTAGGATAAACAGACCCTCATTTTTAATTCAGTTGAGCGTAGTTTTTCTCGTCTCGTAATTTTGATATTATTTAAGGTTAATTCAAATAAATAAAAAGTAGAACAGGCCTTTTTAGCTAATGTGGGATAAAAAAATTAATACTTTTTCATTAATTCAAATGCTAACATTGTACAATTGCTACATCCTCACACGGACACACAAACATACACACACACACACACACACACACACACACACACACACACATATATATTAAGACAATTTTTATGTTTATACGTTCTTTTTATAGATACAAATATTCAAGTAAATGCTCTGTTTATAATAAACAGTGTTAACGACATTTACCAGCCTGAATGTCTGAATGTCTTAACATAACTGTCAGACTTTGTTCATTTTATAATATAATATATATATATATATATATATATATATATATATATATATATATATATATATATATATATATATATATATATGTATATATGTATGTATGTATGTATGTATGCTGTGACAATATTTCACGGCACACTTAAGAGGATCGCGCGGCACACTAGTATTCCGCGGCACAGTGTTTGAAAATCACTGGTTTAGCCGATTTCCTTTATTTACTTTTTCTGTTTGTTTATGTTGTGATAAATGTAAAATGCTGTAAGAACCTGGGCATAAACTGTGAATGATTAAAACACTTTCTGTACACATTTGTTTCAATTCAAAATAATTACTGATGCTGATTTTTGATATTAATAACTCTGCTGTAAGATTGGCGTAGGACAATCTTTATTGTTTTGGGCTCGCACCAAATGAAGCTTAGTAAATACCGAGTCTAATTTAGAGCTATAAAAGTGACTGATTAACTAAGATGATTCAATTCTAGGTCTTCGATTGACTGATTATTTTTATTTGACATAGCAGTAGTTATTTTATAAGCCAGCGTCTTCGATTTCTTTAACATTTTTTAGCAGTTTTCTTTCTTGATATAAGTTTTTATACAGTGTCACTTACTTTACAGTAGTTACTTCTACAGAAACGCGATATCTAAGGCTTAAAACTACTTAAAAAAAAAAGAAAACTCTTTCTTGGAGCTTTTATTTTAGTTTTAATTTAAAGCTAATAGATTAAATTTAATATTTCCAATAAGCAAAATACATTCCTGTATTTCAAAACTAATTTAAGTTGACAGGAAGGAGTTTTCGTTTTGAAATTGCTAAAATCGCTGATTTTAGCGCCGTTTTTAGTCATCTTTCATCACAGTGTAATTCTTTGTAAAATCTATCAAAAATAAGATATACTTTTTCTGAAGGTTTATTTAAAGAATAACAACTGATTTAAAGTTTAATTAATCTGATTTGAAAGAAATATTACTTACTTTAATTTTGAAATATCACAGAAATACATTTTTAACAAGGTGATAGCTGCTTATTTAAAGTGCTGACAATTTGACATACGGAAGTTTATCTAATTATTTTCTACAGTGGATATATTTGTAAAATTTACTTGAGGATATAACGTAAGAACCTCTTTAACATAATTTTTAACAACCTAGTAATCTTAAAAAATTCGGAAAATATTCTCCTTAATCCAATGTTTTATTGAATTTTAGGTACTTTGGCTTTAATTTTGCTATAGTTATCGCTCTTATTTTCTGATAATGTCATGTATGGAGGTCCGTATTTCCAAAAATCAGCACATTTGTACAAACATAAAAAATATCAAAATTCTTTTTAAAATATTGGCGGGGGGGGTCAATGAAATATAGTAAGCTTTTCCATTTTTATTTAATGAAAATATCACCTAACAGAGACAAAGTAATACAAAAATTTAAAAGTTTTAAAACTTTATAAATTATTTTAATTAAAATTTAAAAAAAAAAATGAAAATAGTTCTTGTAAAAATTCATTGTTTATCGAAAAAAAATTCTCTTAAGACAATAATGTCCATAATATATATCATTTATAAAAGCAGTTAAAAGATTTTCTAATTAAATAATATCTTAGTTTTATATTTTTTTTATTATTCATTGCAAATTTTCGGTAACTGTGAGTCCTGTTTTACAAAAAACATTGACGATTTAAATTCTCTAAAGTGTTCTACTTTTAACTAATATAAACATTAAGCGGGACAAAATTTAATTTCTCGAAATTTCATAAAATTAAATAAGTGGTGGGTAACAGATGTAAAAGAAAAAAAAATATTTCAGGATTTTCTAAAAAAAAAAAAAAAATTTCTAAAATAATTTTATTTATTTGTGAATAAGTTCTGAAAGTTTTAATAAAATTCATCAGTTATCTGATTTTTGCAAGAATTTCAAAATCAATGATTTTTTTTTTACTTTACAAAAGACGGTAAATTTTCCTGACGCAAAAAACAAGATTTTAAACCAAGATTTCGAACGATCTAAAAAGGATAAAAAAATATAATTTAATCATCAAAAATCTTTTGATCATTCCCCTTAATAATAACAAAGATTTTGACGATAAAACTTTCTTTTTATTAAATTTGACTCACGTTTTCTTCTTGGTATGCTAATGTTTTAGCAAATCAGTGGAGGTACCTAATTTAGAGACATCTATCACTAATTGCTTTCTCCAAATTAAGGGGAAATAATCCATAGCCAATAATAGGTCTGAAACAATCATTGTACCTGTACTTGTGAAGGATTTGTTCTCAGCTAAAGTATAAAGCCAAATGTAACGAGTTTGATGAAACACTGAACTTAATATTTAATAAAAGAATATCCCGACTGAAAATGCTAAAGCAAATTTAGCGATAAGGTATTTCTCGGCAGGAGCGGCTAAATCCTCCGTTTCTAGCCTTGATAGAATCCAAGAAAGTCTTATCTTCTATTCTCACTGATGCAGCTTTTCAAGCCTATCTCAACTCTATCGCTGTTTCCATAAAAAAATGTTCAACTCTATTTTTTAAACAACGGTTCTCGTACGATCACCGAGGTTAAGCAACGTCCAGCCTGTTTAGTATCTAGATAGGAGGCCGCTTAGAAATACTAGGTGGTGAAAGCTTGGATATGTGGGTGGTGTAATAGATAATGACTCGGAATTGTTAATCGGAGAGTCGAGTTCTAATTCCCGTTGGTTTTGTTATATTCACTTACGAGCAAATACCCTTGGGAAAACATGAATCCACCTATTCTTCCACTAATAATGGTTTAATTAGTAAGAGCTGTATCATTAAACAATTATTATCTATAAAAATAACTTCTTATTATCTAAAAGTATATACTGGCTTTAGATAATCTGCAAAGGGCTGATAAGCTGTAGAAAACGAATCAATCATTTTTAGGTTCCACCAATTCAGACGTTTACACTTAAAACACGCCATGCTATTTCCACGGTGTCGAATCCCCTTCATTTCCCCCGTGTTCCAAATGTAAAGAGAAAGCTTTACTTTGGCAATTTTGCAGAACAGACTTTCGCCTGGCTGCTTCCTGAACACTACAATGTTCTTGAAGTCAGCGACCGATCCTTAACTATCCTCCGTATTCTCATAATTTTCATTTCTTACCACCTATTCATCGAGCCTTGTTTTGGGTACCATCATCATTATCATCATCAGTCCCTCGACTCGTCGGGGACGGAGACGTAAGGACAGAAGAAACAAACCTCCTCCAGGATCATCTGTTGGAAGTAGTTCCAGTCGTGTCATGTCCGTCCAATCCTCGATGTTGTCTGACCAGCTTTTTCGTTGCCGTCCTCGCTTGCGCTTGTCTCCAACAGTGGTTTGCATCATGGTCTTACAGAGGCTGTTATGCCGTGTGATGTGGCCAAAGCATGACACCTTCTGACGTTGAATAGCGGCAATGAGAGATTCTTGTTGGTCTGGTATAACAAATTTATATTCATGAGTGGACAATAGCATCTTTTATAAAAAAAATAAAACATGTAACTTCATTAGATTGAGTTAAGATGTTTAATTGGCTAAACTTCGGGGTTGATGTTCGTATGATAACTATGACGATGAAGTTGTTAGAGCGATCTGTGAAGGTTCGTTTCAAAACATGATAGACATCTGAAGAAGGCCTGAGGGTAAAACGGCCGAAATGTCGCGACTATAATAAGCAAGATATATTAAAAATAGGTTATCTCGCTTTGGTAGATAACACCCACTGATAGAAAGATGAGTCTATTTATTTGATACTAATAGCCTACTCCAAAAACAGGCGATGCTGGCCGCGAGTAAACCTGAATAAAATAAGGACAAGCAGCTATCAGAAGGAGATATGAGCAGCAACAGATAAGTGTTTCAATCTATTTCAAGCAGAAAAATGTAATTGGATATCATTCCCGATGCTATGTGCGGGGAAAGTTTGTCCCGGCATTCCCGTATCCAACGGTTGAGGTTAAAAAAATGGATTGAGATTAAAAAATTGGGACAAACCGCGAGTAAAAAGAAATACAAGTTTAAAACCGACAAACTCTCTCTTTTAGGCGCAGACGGATAAAGAAAAAAACTCCTGCACGGTGCGTAACAATAAAAGAAGAAAGTGTTTATTTACATATACAGAAAAAAAAGGGTAAAGGGATAAAGACAATTAGGAGTGAAAGAAAGGGAAAAGAGAAAATGTCCTTTAAGGGAAGAGAAAATGTTCATAACAGAAAAAAGGCTTGCTCAAAATATTTGTTATGGTTTAGAAACACTCACAGTTCTTGTAGAGTAGGAAAATTGTTGGTAGATATAGGAATCTTGCAGTTGAGAGAGTTCGTAGGTCGACGACAGAAGTCCAGTGGGCACGTCAGAAGGAGTGGTGAAGGGATGAAGCTTTGAATTGGTCTTGAATTGTGGGCCGACGTTCGTTCTCGACAGCCCTTTAGTAGGTAGTTCTTTGGTTGAAAGTGGTTCTGAAGATGACTGGAGCTCCCTATCGTCGACCTCACAGACGGCGGGCTGAAGTCTCACTGCCAAATAGGAAAAGATTCTCCAAATTTATGGAGATCTGGTAGGCTCCGAACAATCAGGGGCTTTTCCCTCCAAAATTGTTGAACAAATTTCCACCCCTTCATTGGTCAGAAAATATCTTTGATAAGAATCAGGGCTCTGGGAGCCGGTTTTGAAAGTAATGAAAACAGGTTTCCCCCGGTCTTTATGGCACCATGGGAAGAATAATGGTGATGGAATTCCTTTTTATATTTTCCAGCTCACTCGTTAGTCAGAAAGTATATTCTTATCTCTGATAAGAATCAAGGCTTTGGGAGCTGGTTTTGAAAGTAAAAAGAGGTTGGAGTGAGGATAGAAAAAATAGCGGGAATGTGAACTTGTAAAATATTGTTCTCAAATTAAATTCCAACACATGACTGCTACAGGAATATGTTTTTAGCAATTCTCTATACTTATTCTCACTGTATAATGTATTTCTTATATAATGCATACTTTTTAAACTGTTCAATTGTCTCGTCTTTGTTTATCAGCCACGACTCAATTTTGGGAGTCTCTAAATTTCCCACAGATAAGACCACTAATCCGAATAGATTAATGTATGGCGATGATAATTTCTCAGAAACTGAATAAATTCAAACAGAAATCCTATTGTCCTGTATCATTTTTTATTTCCCCCACTTTTTTTGGCATTTTGTCTTCACTTAAGCCGAGTTCTTCTGTCACATTTTTTTTAATTTCGTTCATAAAAAATCACCGACAGTTTTTTGACAGCACTCCATGAGGTCAGACAAGGTTGCCAAGAACAGGTGCCCAAACAACGTATAATTAAAAAACTGCAAAAATCAAACGGGCTGATGGAGATGGGTGGGGCTCGGGGTTGGAGGTGGACATAAATATCTTAATTCTTAAAAAAAAAGACGTCAAAAATTCAATATTAATCTGCTTGAAATACTGACAAGTAGAGAGAGAGAGAGAGAGAGAGAGAGAGAGAGAGAGAGAGACATACACACATTCGTATACAAACACGGTCACGTGTACATCGTAATTCAAGCACGAAGGTACATAAATGTACAGAAGAATTAGAAATATTCCGACATATAATCAGAGACGTTGTTCGTCATTTTGTATAAGTCCATTTCGGATAGAGATTATCCTTTCATTTTTGGGGTGAAATCATCAGTATGCTTTGTGGATAAGTTCAGAAACAAAAAAAATATCCTCATGTATACAAGTCGATCACCTATACAGGGCGTTTAAAAAAAATTGATGTCATTTGAGATGTAAATATCTAAGTAACAACATAGTCGATGCAAATGAAACTAAACAGTCTTACTATTGAGCCAAATAAGATTTATTCATCAGAATTTGAACGAGAAATCCAAAGGTATACGGACACGATTTCATAATCTCTCACACGTTTTCCCGAACCCCCTCGGCCATCACTTCCGGTACTAGTAGTCGTTCTTGTCTATTTGCCCTGCACAACGTTCTTGTTTGAATGTTTTGTGCCATGTCCTAATCTGCATTGTATTTAGTGTATTTTTAGTGAATCCTATCACAAATACACGCTTCATAGTCTTGTTTGACTGTGTACTCTTAACACACAAAACATCCTTTCTTTTCCAGCGAATAACATTCCTATAACTGAAAAGAAGAAAAAAAAAATTTAGTTGCTTCCATACATACTGTTAAATTTTAAGATCATTTGAACGAAAATGATTTATTAGATTATGAAATACTACTAAATCTCATACCATAAAGGCTACGAGAGCTGCCTTGTCCCTCTAGCTCTCACGGTCTTGTCAGGACATCGGAACGTCCCCCAGCGCCAGATTAATTTGATGGAGGTCCTGGAGGACAACGGCTGTGTATAATGAATCGATATTAAATTGAGTCATATGTAATTTTTATTTTTGGGAACATGTTGTATTGATGAATGTATTATCCTAACTACTAGGTTAATCTTAGATTTGTGGTTAAGCAATTATAAATGTATTACCAAATTACCGCTATATAAAACAAATCGGCGTATAACACGCATCTCTTAAATTCATTGAAAAACGATAGCTGTCCCTATCTGAATATACGCGTTTTAATCGCACGTTTTTACTTTCACTCTACACTTCTAACGTCTCAGCTTAAATTCCGAAATTTTATTTACTAATTCTTATATTTTAATTTAATCAATTATTTATTTTTTAATAGGTGTAGATACGTTCTCTTATCGCCCGGTTAATACTCCTTACCTGGTCTTTTGAACAGGTGTAAAGGTTTATCACTTGTTTCCTGTTTACTTTTGAGTTTCCAGTTTCTTCTTCTTCTCTTTCACTCCCAACAACCACTTGCCGCCTTGCTTTGGGGGTGAAATGGTTAAAAAAAAAATGAAGTAATATTTCATAAAAATCTGAATAATAATTATAACACTTTTATTTAATTAAAAATATTTTAACATTATTTTGATTTGTAATTAAAATTTAAACATGCTTAGTTTAGATTTCATTCTTTGGTCATCAGAGGGCTGGTGTGTCAAACAAGGTATTTTAGATGTTATCTGAAGGTGTACTGGGATAACGAAAGATGGCTTCCAAAAGTTAAGCAAACTATTAAGAAACACAATAAAATTCGTTAGAAACAAAGAAAACTCTACTGAACTGTTATTTAATATTAGTCCTAGTTTATGGCAGTGAATGATGGACGATGTCCTCACAGTCGAAGAAGAGGCTAGAAGCAACAAAAACGTGGCTCTAAAGAAGGATACTGAGAAAATGGAAACAAAAAGGGCCCTTATACTTAACATCAGAAAGAGTTGAAGTGTCTAAAGCGCATAATGAAGAAAGAGGGCTTGGAAAATTTGATATTCATAGGGCATGAGGGGCAGTGGAAAGCAAGGGATAACATACCTAACGAGTTTGTGTAAATGGATGGCAGAACAATGTTTAGGAGAGATCGCAAAAATACGAAAATTTATTAAGAGTTACAAAAGACAGGAATTTGTGGAGAGCCATGATTCCCAACGTTCTGAAGGGACATAGAATGTAGAAGTCTTGTAAAGATAACCCAGACATCGGGCATAAGACACAGCATTATTTTGGCGTTATTTTTTAAGTGCATTTTATATAGGTGGAAATGTCTACTTCGTATAGATGTTAAGGAAGAAATTCGTGTGTCTACTCGCGTGTTCCTCTGTATAGGTCGTACTTTGCTTCATAATCGCGGAATTGTTAATTAATTATATGATTCGTGGATAAACTATTTTCAGTTTTTAACGTCTATACAATAATAAATGACGCTAATATAACACCTGCAACGTTAACTTCTTTAGATCAATAAAAAATGACGAGCGTTCTTCAGAGACCAAATTGCTTGGAGATAGTTATTTCTCGGAGTAGTGTGAGAAGGAAAAAATGAAGACAAGGCGCGATTTTAAAATAGGGGGATATTATGTTTTAAAAATCATGTTTATTCATTTGTTTTGCGATTTTACCTTTTTGACTTATTCATCTTCATCCCCTTAACAAGAACGATGCAATTTAAATAAGTTCCATTGTTGGGTAGCAAAGTTTCGTATTTAAGGATAAGACAGGCTAGATTTGAAGAAAATCGACTTTTCTTATCAAAGATTTGGTTTTCTGTTGGTCTCTCGATACGCTGGGCGTTAAAATGGTTTTACTTTGGCCTCTGATACTCTAGTCATTGACGTCTCAAACTAATTTTCTTAAGCATTACTTTCTATATGGCCTTAAGATGTAGTTATTTTGTATAATAGAAGAAACAATAGTAAACAGTTATTTAATGAATAAAAAAAAATTCTATTAGTATTATCCGTTGAGGAAGTGGACGAATATTGCTCTCCACAACATCCAGTTCATTGTAGCTCTTAGTAAGCTTTGTCTTTTTGTTACCCCTTGCTTTGCCATCCATTCGCACAATCTGGTTCGGTAGTTTCTTTAAGGTGAGAATTAAAAATATAGCAATGGGTAAGTCCCCCTTTTAACTTTCGGAAAAGAGCTAACGATTTGTTTTTAAATTTCCCTAAAAATCCTTTTTATCACCAATTACCAATCATCGCCTGAAGAAGTACAATCATAATATTGAAACATGAAAGCTTTTTTTTTGTGGAGATTTAAAATGCTTTATCATAATGTCTTATAATAAAAATATTATAATAATATTTTGCTCTACTTTGGATCGAGCACATTTTTTAAAAGTAAATTCTATGAACTGTGAATTTTTACTTTTTACTCCATTTGTTCTTTTTTGTATATATATATATATATATATATATATATATATATATATATATATATATATATATATATATATATATATATATATATATATATATATAGGCCTAAAGTTTGGGGCCACCCACTGGATTTCGAAGAATCGTCTAAAAATTGCAGCTTGCATAACTTTTTCAAAACTAATTTCACTATCACTTCAGACAAGAGGGAATTTCTATCTCACTTCGGACAAGAGGGGATTTTCTTCCTGAATGGTTTTGTAATAATAATAATAATAATAACGAAATTAATCTATGACTGCATAGATTTTCCTTAAAATCTAAGGTCTTGTTGCCTAAACTACCTTACTGGTAGTTTTAGGGTAGGCAGATTTTAAATTTTAGACAAAAATAAAATGCACTAATGGGTTCATTAGTTTCAGCATTCTACCTTAGTAGGAGTTAGTTAAACCAACTTACTATTCATTAAATCCAGAGGATGGCCCCAAGATTTTTATATATGTATATATATATATATATATATATATATATATATATATATAACCCTGTCTGTCATTCTCTCTAAAAATCTCGTTTTCTTTTTTTTTAAGTTTAACCCCTGGCTTGATCAGTTCTGTGGGAACGGTTTCACCAGACCCACTATATGCTTCTTCCTCTTCTTCCTTATTCAAGTAAGACTCATTAGTTGAAAATTTTTCGAGGATGTATTGCCGTCCCTCGGGATAATAGCCTATCCGTCAAGACACCTAATTTCAGAAGAGTTAGATAATGATAATCTTATTTAGATGAAAACCTGAAAAAACAAAAAAAACAAAAAAAAAAAAACGCAATCTCGATATTCCCTTAAGCAAAAATTAACTTAAAAAAAAAAAAAAGAAAAAATCTTATGTACGTAAGAATTGCCCGAAACCTGCTTTGGATTTTTTTAAGGGTGTGAAAAGCAGATTAACAATTGTTCACACAAGGATTTAGAAAATGCGAGAAAATATAGGAGGTTGGGTAGGGTGGCTAAAGCAAGTGTTTGTGGGCGGCTAAGGATGGTTGAGGAGTTTGTGACTCACAGATGATCACGAGGTTAAAAGTTTTTATTTTATCCGTTTAGAAAAGCACACACACACACACACACACACACACACACACACACACACACACACACACACACACACACATATATATATATATGTGTGTGTGTGTGTGTGTGTGTGTGTGTATTATAGTTTGCTTTGAAAGTAATATCGCACTTCAAAAAAAGGATAAACCCGGATGTAATTAAATGAAATTTTATCATCAGGCGAAAGCTGAAATTTGTTAGACTTGTCAGAAGTAGATTCGAAAACGTTTACTCTTTCAGAGTTTTATCAGATCTGCAATCTTCTCTTATGGAATATCCCGACGACGTTGAACTAAAAGCATAAAACAAATCTTCCAGTAAAAAATTCCGGACGTTTTCCTAACAGTGCAATTCTCCGGTGTGTTCTATCATAAAATAATTATCACTGATCATATCTTGATACAGTGCCAAATTTGAATAAACCACATGCATGTGGGTAGCAGCGTGCTGAACATGTACAACAACAGAGAAAGCTGAGTAAGACAAAGATACGTTTTCTCATCGGATTTATTTAACTTTATCAACAAGATGACCCTAAGAAGATTTAAGAGATAATCTAAAACAATATAAAATTTGCAAGTAGCTCAATGTTGATGACAGACACAGAAAATAAATTGAGAGAAATCTTAGACAGGGTAGCAACGGAATAC